TAAAAATTTTTACTATGATATGATCGCTGATTCAAAATAAATATAATGACAGTTTTAATAAATATAATGACGTTTTTTACTGTAATAAATATTAATGATGAGTTAAAAGATAGTTTATCGCTGTTTTCGAATAGCGTTGCGGGCTAAACAGAAATATTCGCCCTTGAGAAATTATTTCAATCAGGCGAAATATATCAGATTTTGAAAAATGATTTAGCTCGCAACAACTATATATTGTTGTGAGCTAAATTGAAATGTTCCAAAATGTTTCACCCTAGCGAAATTATTTTGCTCTGGTGAAATATTAAAGTAATTTAGCCCACAACATTAGTATAAAAGTCGAATTTTGTGAATCCTATGAATCCACATATTAGCATTGATGAAGATATGAAAAATTCAATTACCGTAAAGTAACACCCTTGATTTGTATTTTGTAAGAGATCGGTACAATACGGTTTTTTTTAATGGGTTAGCTTTTTTGCTCTCAGAAATTTACTGATGCCTCAAATTTTTGGAATAGTACTGTACAAATTTCAGTATTAGCCACGATATAAAACAATTTCTTATGATAGCATATAAAGCAAAAAACTAGATTATCGCTTATTCAAATTCTAATCAAAAAGATTTAATATTTCATACTATACTATTACTTTACCTCATGGCAAATCTAATTAGGTCATACAAAATTAATAAAATTAAAAGCCAAGTTAGCAATCATTTTAATTCATAAGTTTGGCCTTAATTATAAAGCGATTTATAATGAAATATAAAAAAAAAATGACGAAATGCAATTGTTAAGTCTATCGACGGTCAAGTTAATTGTCTAAACAATATATTCGACGTAACCACAGATTTCAAATGCATATTAATAGTCATATCGATAGTCATCAGCGTAACTATCCCTACGGTCATCTCGACGACTTCGTCGAGAGCTTCTTCGAGACCGATCCCTTGATTTATCCCTCTGACGATCTATAGACATACTTCTTGAACGATGAGATTCTTCTTCACCACTTTTTTCTTTTTTTCTATTAATATTTTTGCTTGTTATATCTTTTTGCAAATGTTGACTTCT